ATCCTACTTAGATTTTGCGAGTGCGTGCGACTACCGTCCCGTTGTCCGCGGATTCGTTATTGAACCTAGGATCATTGTCATTAGTCTCTCGAGTATCTAATTACCACGGTTACTTGTCGGGTTCTAGGGTAATCGTATTTGCACTAGCCAATGTCTTCTCTATTGCATAACGACGACGCGTAATCCAAACGAAGATTCGCTTTACGCCCCTAACCCTAATTCTAATGTACACCCGTCGTCGTTGGCACTTTTCGCAAATGTTCCTTGCAACAATATACCATCGTTTGGCATTAAAAGTGTTAATTGCGTATGCACTAGATGAAACTATGCACTAGTAAAAGCGAAGAATAAAGATATTCGGGCAAAACGCAATATACTAAGCTTGAAAAGCAGTAGTATCTTGAAGAATAACGAGGAAACGTTCTCGTCTGACAAATGCAAAAAAGTATCGACGAAGTAAGTTGACGATATATCTATGTTTTGTTACTAACAATCCAGAAACTGCTAATTGTTTCCAATTAAAACTGGCCAAATGTAAACTAGCGGAAAAGTCAGTAAAATATCTGGGTCACATCATCGAAAAAGACGGTGTGAGACCAGAGAGAGATAACCTCAAAGCGATACGAGAATTTGAACAGCCAAGAAACAAGAAAAACGTGAGACAACTATTAGGAAAAATGAATTTTTATTAGGAATTTATAGAAGACGCGTGCAAACTCTTGGAACCACTCCACAATTTATTACGGAAAAATGTAGAATCTATTTGGAACGAAGAATGTGAAAAATCATTTCAAAAGATTAAAGAATACCTCTGTTCAAGCCCAATCCTTTCAATATACGATCAAAACAAAGAAGTATTCATTTATACAGATGCAAGTGGAAACGGTTTAGGAGCTGTCTTAAAGCAACCTCGAGACAACAGGATGTTACATTCGATTGCGTACTTTCCGAGAAAATTGAGACCAACAGAGGCAAAGAAGAAAGCAATCCACCTCGAATGTCTGGCTATTAAAGAGGCGATTCAGTACTGGCAACATTGGTTAATCGGTAGATATTTCACTGTTCTTTCAGACGATAAACCGTTAGAATCGATGAGAATGAAAGCAAGAACCGATGAAACTTTAGGAAACCTAATGCACTACCTATCGCAGTATGATTTCAAGATCATCTATTCGCCGGGAAAAGACAACGTAGAAACAGATGCACTATCCAGGAATCCCGTCTTGGAAAGTTTTGAAAATGAAGAAGACGTTCTGAAAGTGGTGAATATTATTACAAAGAAGAACATAATTCAAGATCAGAAAGAAAACGAAAAAAATATTAAAAATACAAAAAAACCTCACCTCACCTAAAAAAAAATCAGAAATATTTTTCAAAAATATTAAAGGACGTCAACGTATATTCGTATCACGAAAATTTGGCGAACACATCAGAAAAACGGTTCGTGAATTCTTCGATCACGTTGGAAGGAACCATATACTAAAGAAAATCCGACCTTTCTACTACTTCAAAAATATGGATCGGATAGTCGACAAATTCTGCAAACAATGCGAAATCTGCATCAAGAATAAAAGCGGAACGAGAAGACCGTTCTCGGATTGGATTTATGTCGAAACTAGGACCAGTTAAGAAACCGTTTGAAACAATGTCATTCGATACGGTCAGAGGTTTTTCTAATAACAACTCAGCGAATAAATTTATGCATATTCTTATTGACCATTTTTCAAGGGCCGTTTTTGTGTCCACATCAAAAACACAACGCTCAGACGATATCACAAAACTTATAGATTCGACGGGAGAAACCGATTCTATAAGAATGATCCTCGCAGACAGATATCCAGTTCTGACATCCAAAGAAATCCAAGAATACGCAAGAAAAAAGAACATCAAACTAATTTTCACTTCGACAGACTGTCCATCCTCGAACGGATTAAACGAAAGGGTAAACCAAACACTAGTAAACAGAATCAGATGCGAAATTAATTCAAACAAAAAAAAGAAAAACTGGACAAAAATCGCAAAAGAAAGTGTAGAAGAATACAATAAGAGCAGACACAGTGTCACAGGATTTGCTGCCAATTACTTACTGTACGGGAAAAGAATTGAGATCGCTCCTAAAGGAATAATTGAAAATAAGATAGACTTAGAAAGAGACAGAGAAGAAGCATTTAAAAACTCAATGAGAAACTTCGAAATTAACAAACAGAAATACGATAAAAAAAGAAGAGAGCATGAGTTTAAAATTGGCAATATGGTATTCACTCACAATGGCAACAAATTAAATAGAAATAAATTGGAGGAAATCCGGAAAGGGCCTTTCAAAATTCTGAGAAGAATCTCAAATACTATGTACGAAGTGGATAACGATAATCGTAGACCTGGAGGAAATTTCTTTCATGCGAGTAAACTAATTCCTTATGAAAAGGACAATTAGCGATGCAATTGTCAACACGAGGAGGGGAGGTGTAAACTCTCTAAGAGTTCAAATGCGGATAAACAAGGGGACTTACTCTGTTTTACGGACAGCACGACTTTTTTTGTTTCGCGGACAGAGCGGCTTTCTTTGTTTTACGGAGAGCCATTTTGAGAGACACGCATTTCCCAAACGGACGGACAGAGATCAACATCGAAGATAGACAAGATCACAGAAGAAAGAGTAATTATTTAAAACATTGAAGATTGACGGAGAAAGATCGGTAGCTCAGGACGTTGAAAATCGAATCTCGATTTTCAGGTAGACATTGCACAGAACGTGCTATTTATTGTTTACTCATATTAATTGGTTGTTGTTTATTTAATTATTACTGTTATTAATTGTTGTTAATTATTAATTGTTGTTTACTCCTGTATTTCATTTAAGTATTTTCACAAAAAACTCGATTTTCAGAATCGATCCCTCAATTATCCTAGAATTGAACTTTATATATATATATATATGTGTGTAAATTTAGTATGTCGGAGATGAAAGGAAAACCGGAGCCTTCCCTTTGCAATTTTGGGAAAGTTTTCTAATGCTTTAGCCTAGATTTTATCATAGCTGTAATTAAGCAATTGTTGTCATTTGTAATTGTTAGATATGTGTAATAGCGAAAGTGGGTTCGAGGTGACAACTGGTCGCCGAACGTAGCCACGGTCACAGGATAAACGTTTTGCCTGACGAAGGTGTGGATCGGGTGTATTGTTCTCCCTAGAAATCACATAGAATTGTACTTTGGAGATGTCGATATAATGGGACACACGTTGTATTAGGAATCAAACTCCAGACAGAAACTGCCTAGCAACGGCGTTTGGATTTTTCTCGATGCTTCCAAAGAGTATACAACAAACTTTTGGCAGAAACTGCCTAGCAACGGCGATTAGAACCTTCTCGATGCCTCCAGCGAGCATATAACAAACAAATGCAGTCGTACTGCGAAAAAGATTTTCATCAGATATTCATTCGAGTGATCGCCTTGGAAAGTGATACATTGATCAATTTACCGAGTGTCTCACCAATCGTATTTTTGTGTGTTTAAAATTATTCTATGCATAATAAAGAGTTATCCCATTGACCGTGGATTCGTTTGAACCCAGGAACATTGTTAATAGCGTTAATTAAATTCATCATTCGTTAAATTTATTATTCGTAAAACATATTATTCGTTACTCTTATTATTCGTTAAACTTATTATTCTTTAATCTAAATATTAGTTAAATAATAATAAGCTTGTTATAAATATATAAATTTGTTTAAACATATTTTGAATGAGAATAAACCACATTTCACTACACAGAAAATTATTCTACAGAATGTGTTATTCTACGGAAGTGCATCCTTCTCTAACCACCAACATGGAAATTGACCAATTAACAGCAACGTCAATTTCCCTCACTTTCCGAACGAAGGCTTTTCTTGACGAATCCGACGATCTCGTGTCCTTAGACACACCCCATATATTGTTATTCTCACCCCATTGTAGACCCCATTGTTACCCCGTTGACCGCGGATTCGTTATTGAACCTAGGATCTTTGTCATTAGCATCTCGAGTATCTAATTACCACGATTGTCAAATTCTGTAATAATCATATTTGCACTAGTCAATATCTTCTCTATTGCATAACAACGATGTGTAATCCAAACGAAGATTCGTTTCACGCCCCTAACCCTAATCATAATGTGAACCCGACATATATATGTAAATGTGATTTTTTAATAACGATTAACAACATAATAACAGAGAAATTTGCTTAATTGCTATTTGTGCTTAGTTACGTTCTAAATTATTTAATAATTTATTATTAAAATAAATATTGACTAAAAAGCAATTATTAAAGAATATAATTTACGAACTTTGCTAATATCATCACTAGTAAAAACTAATGCTTTATCTTATTAATAGCTTTTCCTAATTTAATTTTTGATTACAAGGAAGACAGTTATAGTACGTTTTAAATTATGTCACAGTTGAAAAATATATTCCAAATATGTCTTATGATCAATACAAAATCTGTTAAAGAGTATTAATTTTAAGTTATTACATTACACAAGATATCGTAAACATTGTTTTTGCTATCTCTCATTGTTTCGATATTTACAAATCTTCGATCCATAATTTCTAATTTAACGTTATGATCCATTAAGATTTAAAGTCACTTACCCTATTCCATTCTCGCGGCCCAAATTTTCTACGTTTTGCAAGTGCAGCGTGATAATAACAAAGTGCGAATTTAAATTCGGTTTCTTCGCTGCAGGACTCCAAAGTTTCCTGGGCAAAGTTATCCAACGCTTTGTGGATATTTGCTTGAATTCCAGATGGTGGTTCGTTCGTGATCTTTATGACCGATTCTAGTATACCCTGTGTAAATTTAACGAACCTTACATTAAGTAATTGGTATTTCTTATCGATATTATTTACTTATGGACTAAAGTATCACTTATATAGTAAATTAGGGACTATAATAGGTACCTCAAAATTTTCTTAGATTTTTTTAAAGCAAAAAGATAGTAGGAAATTAGACCAGTTACTGAAACACCTGTAATGCCGACCGCGTTAATGAAAAACCATATTACCGGCGGAGGGTTAAAGAATATAATTAGCACATGCTAGCTTAATTAAAAGTGCATATTTTCTTTTGCTTTTTCAAATTATATAATTGTTTCTTACCTGAGGTATTATTGATTCAGGAGGATCAGGATTGGGTTCCGCACTAATGAACAATTGACAATCATCATGTGGATTCTTCGAGCATTCTTCCATCTTTTTTTCTAATGTAGACAATCACTTCCTCAGCGATCTTCGTTCGCTGAAAATTCTATGGCTTCTTCCGTTATGGGTTCTTGACCTTGACCTTGACCCAGTGACACATTATGGAAATTTCTTCCTCCAAAAGTGAAACTCAATTACATTCCCAACTTTTCGACGTCCTGAAATTTTATCGTTGCCGTTATTGTAAATACATATTCGATGTGATTGCGCTGATTTTCGTAACATGTTTTTGTATAATTCATTAAGTATCGATAATTCTTAATTTTAATTGTCCTCGATCCAGGTTATAAACTGGTAAACGAAAGATATGTCATCGAAAGCAACAGAGTATAGGAAATGAGAAGAGTAAGAAGGTATTACAATTATATTGCATTAAAGAAAAATTATTAAATGTTACGCAGTTTGGTTTATAGCTTATTGATTGTTCAGGGTATGCAAGAATTATATCTCATCCCTTTGATGGATGATCCTGCACCTTCAGATCGGTGGAGATTTATTAAAGAAAGATACCGTATAATAGAATTTCAGAGCTAAATTTTTTGTATTGCACTGCTTAATGCTCGTTACGGGGAATAAATTTCTGTAAAGAACCACGGGACGCAAATGAACCGTTCTTTTGGAAAATGATCTTAAAATTCCATTAGATCTTATATTGAAATTACATTAGAAAATATTTATATTTCCCAGTTAGATAAAAACTAAGTAAGGCAATATTAATGAACAAACAGAAGGTATTCCTTTGAATGAATGATAATCTACGCTAAATAGGATGAAGCATCTAACTTCATCATTTCAAACTATTACAAAATTACTTAATTTACGGAGAAATCTTTCGAATAAAAATTGAATAGCGTTGAAGAGAATATGATTTGGTAGGAACTGCAGAAACGTTAACTACTCTTCGATTTCGTTGTTTTTGAATATGTTGTATTTGAATATGTCGGTATTTCAAATAACCTCTTCCTATATGAAAAGTGAATTCGCTTAGTTTCCGGGATATTCGCGAAAAACTACCAATATCACTACAGTGAATTCTGCTTCTGCAGTTGTGCAACCGTGACAGCGTATGCGTTAGTTTGGTTACCGATTGCCGATCACTTATCTCCTCTTTGAAAACGAGGGTCGGGCGAGTTTAAAGGCTGTGTGCACAACGTACACAAGCGAGGCTGCAAGAATCTGTTATAACTGGTAACTTATAACTCAATTAAAAGTGAATATCATCAATGTATTGGCTTCAAATAATGAATAATTAAATAATCGTTAATACACAGAAGATAAGTGGCCGGCGACTGGCAACCAGACCGACGCATACGCTGTCACAGATGAACATCTATAGGCAGAAATACACTATAATTGAGCCGGTAGTTTCTTGCTAATATATTGAAAACTAAACAAGTTCACTCCTTATATACAGCATAGTATATAGATAAAAGTTGTTCAAAATATTTCTATAACATATCCAAAAATCATAGAAATCCGAGGGTAGATAACGTTTCTACAGTTTCACCCTATATAGCGTTCAAGTTTTCTCGGGATAGTATAAGTTGTAAATTTAAGGTATAAACAAAGAATTGTATGAGTGCCGGGGAAGAGAGAGAGAGAGAGAGAGAGAGAGAGAGAGAGATTTACGATACTACATGTTTAACGAATATTTACCTCTTCTTCCTAAGTTGTTCGAAATGTGTATCTCCCTAGACATTTTCTTTCATAATATGACATTTGTAGTCTTTATTATTAAAATTGAAAGTACATTATATAAGTATTTTAGTTGATAAAATTACAACGCTAAGTACACATTTTCTCGTCGAATGACCCTTAAATTTTTTAAGGACTATCTCGAATCACCAGTTTTCTCCCTTCACCGATTATATTCTTAATTCTACCGGCCCACTCGTTCGCCATGATTTATTTATATTGCTTTATCGGCACGATAGTTACATGTCCAAACTCCTTCGCCGAGGATTAATTGTCGTCGCCGATTAGCCGGTTCTGATGTTTCCCTTTTTCTTTTCTTTTCTTTTTTTTCGCTTTCTTACAACGATAACGGTTGACAAACAGTTCGACAACGATTATCACCATCGATTCGCTATCGTCCGAATCGTGGCACGCATTCGATTTTCGAAATTAGATACGTTTGTATTCATTTTGATTAAATAAATATATATCCAATAAAAGTTACTTCTGCCGTCACAATTGGAGCGCATTGCGTTTGCGACGAGACTGCTCCTGAAGCAAGCAATCGTCAGATGCAACACTTGAATAATCACTTATTGGGAAATGAAAGCATCGCTGTCCATGGTTACCGATGCGCGTCTCTAGTCCTGATGCGTATGAGAAATTCTGCCGTAAGATTCCTACTCGATGAACAATGCTATAAATTCGTTTATAAATAGACACGTAATAACGAAAATTTGTTTCTTTACGTGAATATTGTGGTATGACCTACTCTTCAATGTCAAAAAACATGATGTAATATTAGTTCTTAATTTACATAGTAAGTGAATGTAGTAGTAATAGTTAGTTATTACTGCACAGCGGTATATTTCACGAGTGGAAGAATAATTTGCTGTTATTTGATTGCTGAAAAATTTGATTCGCCACATTTATGGTTCTAATGTGCGTTAATAAACAGTCAGACAATAATCACTTACTTTACATTTTTCTTTGAAACGTAAACGTTCTGTAGATTGCGATGGAACTTTTATACTAGTTTTTGAGAGAATAATTGGGTTATAACGTATGATGATATCGATACATTTTATCCCCATTAGAAATACGAAGATTTGTAATTATCTGTAAAAGTATTGTTTAACTTTTTTAATATTCAGTATGACGAAATAGCAAACTGTCTATATCATTAATTACATAATTATCGCATGAAAAAATAAAGCGTCGTATTTGTTTATTTTTAACGCTTTTGTTATTAATGTGTAAATGGATGATTAGACATGTTCATTAATTGAATATTGGTTATTAATTGGAATATCTCTTTGTAACTTTAAACCAGGATAAATAATTATCATTTCTCTTTATGTATGTTACAGCCAAAGAGGCATACGAGAACGTTACGGAGGAATATGTAACACGCGCTTTGCGAGAGGCAACTGAAGAAACTTTCTCTTTCGTCGCTGCTGAAATTAAAGCGTTAGTAGAGTCCCAATAAATGCAGCTGCAGTACAAAAACAGACAGTGTAATACTTTCGAAATCTATAACTAGGCAAAAGCATATAAATTTGGAAATGGAGAAAACAACGCGGAGCTAAAATAGTGTCCCCAGTAACATTATGCTTAAACCATTTTATATTTGCGAACTATATTCGGTTATCTTTAAATTAGCAAAGAGAAATTGTTTCCAAATCCAATTTCGCCGTTTGAGAGATGCACATTCATATGCATATACATATACATGTATATGGATGTACATTCATGATCTCTGGCATAGTAACATAACATTCCCACTGAACGTAGCAACAGCGATTCGCACGGTGTCAATTCAGACCACCCGTGTTCTGGTATAGGCAAATTAAAACAAAATTGATGTAATGTTACAACTTTACTGTGTACATTTTTTCATTAGTATAAACAACTATTACTATAATAATGTTGAAGAAAATATTAGATTGGTGTGATTACTAGTTCCTACATGCAAAGTTGGTACGGCTTCTAACGACGCTCTTTTGTTTTGGCGTCCGCCACGTGTTAATCATCTGAGTGTATCTGGTATGTTTATATAGCTTTACATGGTGGTGAAATACAGAACGTAAAAACTGAATCTGTGTGAATCAATAAATATCAAACTCCAAAACCTATTTAATAACAAATAATATAACAAATTAAGTAATATGCTGTAGACTGTAAAAAACAATAATAAAATGTATGTTTATATTAACACGTTGAATGCCATGGTGGTTGTCACGTAAAATAGAAAGAAACTTAAGAAAAAAAAGGAACTTTATTTTTTTCTGCTTTGCAATACACTTCCGAGCTCTAGGCGTGACTGTTCAAGACTGACTTGGATGATTTTAGGGGGAGTATTTAAATTCTTTTATTCGTGGGAGTGGGAAAAGGCTTCGATCATATATTTAAATTCTTTTATTAAATTCTTTTATTCGTGGGAGTGGGAAAAGGCTTCGATCATATATTTCTGAGAACGGGTAGAGTGACCGGATGCTACCATGGTAATCACTCATGCTAAGGCGCTTGGAATTTCGCTATCCTATCGTTTTGTTTAGTCGGATTTCATCCGTGACATTCCTCCCTTCTTAGATTGAACTTGGTCCATCAAGTTTTCTTCAGAAAAGGCTTGAAAATCACAGCTGATTCCTTTTCTTCTTCGAGGTGGTATGAGTTGGTCGGGATATAGATGTCGGATGTTGCGACCGGGGCGCTTGGTGCTGGTGGGGATGTCCCATTATGGCTGTTGATTACGGTTTCATTTCTGCAACAAAATAAATTGATACATAAACTATTCGGTATACATTTGAATACTCCTATCTTGTTTAATCTGTATATACCTAGCATGCCTGATGCTATGTACCCTAATATCTGGAGCGTGGTTAGCACCCAATACTGTATATTTTTGATTCTATGTTCGAAATTAAGAGTTTTTATCTCGTCGCCTATTTTATAGATCGTGGTCTTATAGTCTTGTAAATTATCTATTATCTTTGATGCTCGCTCGAGTTTGTCTAACAGATTAGTGAAGCTATCGTTTGTTTTGAGCGCTAGGGTTTTAGTTTTGATTTCGCATTTGACTTCGTTTTTTGTCTCGAGTATGTTCCCATGTGTTCATCTTTGTACAATATATCGCAGGAAGTGTTGGATCTTATGATGGAGGGCTTGTCAAGTTTTTGCAAGGTGTGTTTCGTTTGGCAAATTGTGCCCATTTCTATCGGGTTTGCCGGTATTGCGATGTAGCTGTTGCTAGTTCTGAGCGATATAAAGCTAATGTCTTCAATCTTAAACACAGTTATTTGACAATGTTCGATAGGAGGTTGGAAGTTTATTATTTCGCTGTCATGGATTGGTGGTGTTTGTTTGCATATAGTGGTTCCGGCTCGATTCTTACAAAGTTTGTCGATATATTCGATATCAGTGTTCATAAATGAAAGTCCAGAAGTTAAATATATTTGATGCTGGACTACTGGAGCCAAAAATACTCCATTTCTCTTACTCGGGATAGGATTTTAATATCACTGATGTCGAGTATAAAC